TGATCCTTGGGGAAGACCTTACAAACTAATCATGGGCAAGCTTAGGGTACGAGATATACCAGTCACGTTGGCGCTTGACCCTGCCCTGTTGTCAGAGATTGTGGGCGCGCTGTTTCCCGAGGATGGGCTGGCGGTTTTGTCAGGTGCYCCTGTAGGGATGCTGGACGTGCCTGCTGTGACGGAAGGGGAGGTGGCAAGGGCTGCGAAAAAGATTGCTGGGCAAAGGACCCCGAATCTAGATGGTGTGCCGGAGTTTGTGGCAAAGAAAGCGGCCGCTCATTGTGGACGAGGACTGGCGGACTGCTTTTCTCGGCTTGTCTGAGGGAAGGCGTTTTCCCCAGGGACTGGAAGATAGCCAGGCTGGTGCTGGTCAAGAAGAAGGTGGACGCCCCAGTTGACGCTCCCGGCTCTTACAGGCCAATATGCCTGTTGGACGAGGCAGGAAAATTACTGGAAACGATCATCGCCACCAGGGTGAGTAGGCATGCGAGTGAAGCGAGCTTAATATCATCTGCGCATCATGGCTTTCGGGTAGGATGCTCCACTGTTGGAGCTATCCTGGAGGTGATAGRTGTGATGGAGGAGTGCGTGAATAAGAATTGGGTTGGGGCCATTACGGTGCATGACATTAGCAACGCCTTTAATTCGCTCCCCTGGTGTGCTATTGTGGATGCAATGGAGGCAGGTGGCTTCTCTGAATACCTTTTGCCGGATTATTAAAGATTATTTGAGTGATCGGCTCCTGCTCTTCACCGGGAGGCAGGGCCGAGTGCATGAAAAGTGTTTGCCGTGCAGGGTGCCCCAGGGATCTGAGCCCCAGGGATCCGGGCCCCACGTTATGGAATATCACCTACGATAGTGTCCTCCGAGTCCCACTGCCTCGGGGGTCCCGTGTGGTCTGCTATGCGGACGACACGGCCCTCCTTTCAGTGGGGCGGGACCTATCGCAGGCTATTTTAGCTGCGGAACAGGACCTAGAGATCCTGGTGTATGCGATTGAGAGATTGGGCCTCAAAGTGGCGCCGCATAAAACGGAGGCAATGGCCTTCCCTGTTTCTGCCTTCTGCAGACGCAGGAATGTTCCTCCCCCTGTCAATAGATTCAGGGGGTTTTGTGTTAGTTTTAAGCCCAGTATTAATTATCTGGGCATAGTGTTAGATTCCAGGATGTCTTTCATGCCGAAGGATACCCCCGAATGCAGTCAATTGGGAGGATCCTTCTGAACCTCCACGGACCGAGGGAGAAGAAGCGACGTTTCTACAGCAGCGTGATCCACTCGGAGCTTCTTTATGGAGCTCCGGTGTGGTGGCGCGCTGTTGTGGAGGACATGCGGGTCAGGCGGGCTGTCCGAAGCCTACAGTGCAGGATCGCGATCAGGGTGGGCTGCGCATATAAGATGGTGTCCTTTCATGCGGCCATGATGGTTGCGGGGATAATTTCCCTAGATCATCTGGCGCCTAGGGTAGCGGAAATATATGAGTTGGTCAGYATGGCAGGGGCTCCTGTCCCTCCGGCCGTGAAGGTGGTGTTGGGGGCAGAGGCGAAAAGGGCCGCTTTGACCGCATGAAAGGAACAGGAATTGGCGTTAACAGGGACGGTGAATGAGACGGGGGCACGCGTAAGGGCTGCCGTGGCTGACCGGTTATGGGAGTGGGTTGGGAGGCCGTACGACATCCGTACGACTTTCTACACCACTCAATTGATGACCGGCCACGGCTGTTTTTCCGCGTTCCTGTATGRGATTAGAAAATTAGCGTGACCGGGCTGCTTCCATTGCGATAGCGCAGTGGATGACGCGGAGCACACTTTGGTGGCGTGTTCTGCGTGGGAGGAGGCTAGGGAGGTATTGCGTTCGGAGTTGAGGGGATGGGGATGCAGCTCTCGCTTACGGGGATAGTCGGGAAAGACCTGGCTGCCCCGGGGGGGGGGAGCTACGTTCCAGTCCTTCTCAGGACTTGTCATGGGTGAAAAAGAGAGGGCCGAAAAGGCCAGGGAGAGAGAGGAAAGACGGAGGAATGTGAGAGAGAGAGAGTGAATGATGATGAGCGGATGGGGGTGGGGTCGAGCAGGAGACTCGTTTCCGCTCGACCTCCCCGAGCGAGGTTTCGGRCGACCCTGGCGGCGCCTTGACGACATGTAGGGTGTATATTTAGGAGGTAATCTTATGGTAGCAATAAGCTGTATATATACGTTTGCATGTTTTTTCATAGTCTAGATTATTGTATATATATTTCATGTCTTTATTTGATAGATGTATATATATATTGTGCTTTTTGTCAGTGTGAATGTGTGGCCTGAAGGACAGATATGAATGAGTGCTAGGCGAAGCAACCTGGCTAGCCTCGGAGGAGTGGGGCGTGCATTGCGCTATGAAACGTGGACCCACCTACCCCTAACGCGTGAAGGATAGATGAATGTATGCGAATGGTTTTTAGCCGGTAGGAATCCGGCTAAAACATCTTTTATGTATTTTTCAATTCTCTACAACTTTTGTTTAAAACTTTTTTCGATTAAATGCCTAGATTCTAAGATATGACTTTTTTACCCTTTTTTACCCTTTTTCTCAAAGATCTCCTGATCCAATTGCAAAAAAATTAGCACCATTCGATTCAGCGTCGTCGAGTTACCATTATATCAAATTTTTATCCAAGAAACACAATTAGCTCCTGTTTATAGCATTTATATAGGTGACCA